GCATCAATTCGGACAGCCAAGTGACCACTGATCATAACAACATGTGCCGTGGTTCCTAAAGCTTCAAAGGTGGCGGTCATGTTGTTAAGGTTGAGTATCATCCCCAAGGCCTTGAGCAACACGTTGCTGGCGAGAAGCGGCACGTCTGCGTTGAGGACACCTGTGCCGATGAGCAAGGGGCCGTGCTCGCCGAAGTTTACGGGTAAATAAGCACGAAAATCGGCTGCAACAGGAGGTCCCTTACCAAACTGGAACTTGTCATGGATGTGCGCCTTCCCAACGTGTAGCCCGAATGCCTCGAGGTGCTTGATGTGATCCCTTGCCCACGTCCTGCCGCAACAAGTTCGTTGGCAAGAACCATGTAGCCAACATACTGTGACCCAAGTGCTGGCACCATCTGTGCTGAAAACACGACGCTCACCTGGTAGGCCGGGTCCTGGAATGCTTGGCCGAACTCCGTGGAATACACCTCATAGCTGCCGAGATCGCTGTGGGTCACGGTCAACGCTTGATGAGATGGACCCTTGCCTTGTTTGCCGCCGCCCTTGGATGATGATGCCGGCTGTGTTGGGCCAGCAGCGCCTTTGCCAGGGGGTGGTTTCGAGGTTGGAACACCCTTGCCGCCACCGCTAACCTTGCACTCTGGATCCCCCTTCCAGTGTCCTACTTCCCCGCAAACGGCACATGTTGTTCGTTTTTTGAGCTCTGCCGGGGAGGTTTTGCCACCGCTGTACTTCCGTCCAAGACGTGCGCTCGCCAAACGACGAGCAGTCACCGTGAGGACGCGGGCTAAGTCCTCCAGCCCCTCTGGGCCGTCGTCGGCATTGTCTCCGTCGTCATGGTTGTCTGGGTCTCCACCTTGGTCGTCTTCTTCATCGCCCTCGGGGATGGCCTCAAAGTCCTGCTCGATATCGTGATTGTTGGCCTCTGGCTCGCCGAGCTCGCCGGTCTCGGTGACGAACACGCGCTTCGGAGGATAGCCACCCTTGCCTTGGCCGGGAACGTGGTGCCTTGAAGGAGCCGAGGTCGGAGGTCCTGGTGTGCCCGGGGATTTCGCGCCCTTCCCGTCCTTGGCGCCGCGGCTGACCACTTGACCATCCCGGCCCATCACGGGAGGAGCTGCCCTGAAATCTGGGTATTGCATGGTCATGGACTCCATCACATCCTCGAATGAAAGTGAGTACCGGGACCCCACCAGAACCAATCGTTGATCAGCCTGGCTCAGTCGGGCCCGCTCCAGCAACCTATTCCCGCGGCTCTCATCATCATACATGCCGGTGATCTGAACCCCCAATGCTTCAAGTGACCGCTCGATCCTCCTGTAACGGTTTGCGTAAGTCCTGAGGCCTTCGTTGGGATAACGGCTGATGCTTTCGAAGTCGGCCAAATATTTGCGTTTTTGATACACTGTCTTTTGGGCCATAGGTTCTCGGAGTGACTCCAATATGAACTCCACCCCCGAATCACAGTTGATCTTCTCAAGAGGAACATGTTCTAATTCGGCTTCTGCTTCTCCTGTGAGCGAAGTGTAGAGGAGCAACGCGGCCTCGCGCTTGGTCATATAATGTGCAATTTGAACTTGCCAAATCTGCACTTTCCTCATCCATTTACTGAACGCGCGAAGATCACTTGGATCGTAACGCCACGCAGGCGGGGTGGGTGGAGTTCCACCCCGCCACCTCACATGCTTTTCCGGTCCCATCCTGCTGTGCCAGCTCGTAGAAGAACTAGCCTTGTTGGTCTCGCCAGCTGGGGTCCTGGCAGCCTCAAGGTCAAGCAGATGTGCTGGATGCTCTTCTGTATGATCATCTCCTTGAAGTTGCCGCTGATCGTCTCCTCCGGGGGTTCGTGGTGCACGTGGTAGGCCGGGAGGCTGACGAGGTCGTGGAGGAAGAGGCTGCCACGGATCATGTCTGGTTGCCCGGCGCGAGGGCACAGAAGTCGCCGAGGAGACCGACACAGTGGGGTCGTAGGTGAGGTTCTCTGACTCGGGCTGCTCTGATGCCTCGGTGGCGTCGCCGTCCGGTGGGTTCGCTCCATGTCGTCGTCGCCTTCGCCGGCGGTTGCCGGCTGCCGGCCTATTCGCACTGGTAGCTGGGGAGCCGGGATCAGCAAGAGGAGGCCCTGCACCGCCACCGCCAGGAACATGTAGAGGAGAAGCTGCCGCGAAGATGCCGCCAGGCACGTAGTGCCACGTCCCGCGGCCGTGTGCCGCATGTCTCCTCGTAGGCTGGCCTATGTGGTAGTACAAGGTCGAATTGCAATCCGCGCAGCTCCAAAAGCCAGCCAGGTCTCTCATTAGGGAGGATCCATCACAAGATGAACACCTCCAGGGATTATCTGGTTCGGCTTCGGCAGAGGTCCCTGGTCCAAGCGTCTGGGATGCCGTCTCCTGGTTCTCGAGGCTCGGAAGAGAATCTGCAGACTCATCGCCCTGGCCGTCCATCTGGAACATCTCGGGAACCGGTGGCATCGCAGGAAGAACAGGCTCCGGTGCCAACTCGACTTAACACTCGCACAGCTGAA